AGACAGGACATCCCCTCTGCTGGGTAAAGGGGGTGGCAGTGGGAGTCAGGAGGCTGGAAGAGGGGCCTTGGAGATGTTGGAGGACAGGCGGGCACCTGGGAGACCCCACGGCCTCAGGGACAGCCCTTGGGTCCATGCTGTGTCACTAACCCAGGGAGGTGCTTTGCAGGTCTCTGCAGGCCACAGGTGACCTCGGAGCTGCTGTGGGAGGGGGCAGGGTGCTCTGGGAGCAGCAGGAGAATTCAATAAGCAGGAAMGAGACAGCCGGGAGCGTGCAGCAGCAGCATTCCTGTGACCTTATTTCCAGCCTGTAGCGGGAAGGAAAAGATCAATAAGGAAATTACTGCTCCTTCTCTCCGAGCCRGCGGCCGGAAGCGCCCGTGTTCTGCAGCCCTTCCCCAGGGCCTGGCTTGGGCAGGAAGACAACAGCCCCGGAGGGAGCACCCTGAGCGGCTGCCAGCCCCYAGGGGCTCTGGAAACTTGGGCCAATTAGAGGACCATTGTGTGACACTGCACCACCTCACCTATAAGAGCCCAGTCTGGTGTCAGGGGATGTCCCATCTTGGTTGCCACTAACTATCTGTGCTAACGCGCACAGGCGGTAACTAGTCTCTCTGGACCTGCATGTCTCTACCTGCGGAGCAGGGCTAATAGGCTTCAGAGGCAGAGCACAGCACGGTGAGGTCCCCACCAAGAGGCGACATCACGTCACCGGAGGAGGGGCATGAGCCCAGCACACTCACTGTGCCGTGGGGCCAGGGAGGGCTCCGCGTCAAACCTTTTCCAGTTAAAGCAAGCCAGTGGCCCTCAAGTTGCAGTGCGATGCCAGCCTGGGCAGAGCTGTCACAGCGTGGCCACCAGCACAGGCTCCTTGTCCTCCAGGACCCCTCCGCGGAGCCAGTGTTGCTATTCTCAGTGGGACTATTCTCAGTGGGACGAGGAACCTGAGGCCGGAGCAGGGTGTGTGGGGTGGAGGAAGGTGGCCCAGGTCGCTACGCCCCCACCTGAGTTTGCCYTGCCCTCACTGAGGTCACAGGGGACTCAGGCCAGGCTGGGAGGCCTGGAAGCCTTGGGGAGGCTGCAAGAGCAGAACTGTGTTCCAGAAGCAGGAGGCGTGCGGTCACTGGCCCTGTTCTGCCAGGGAGGACGCTGCACCTGGAGGGAGCAGAGTCAGTTCCCACCGCCATGCACCTGCCCTGCTTCCCACGGGGTCCCTGGCTTAGTCAGTGTGAGTGCCTGCACGTGTGTGCACGTGTGTGCGTGCATGTGTGTGTGTGAGCACATGTGTGTGCACATGTGTGTACGTGTGTGCATGTGTGTGCACGTATGTGTGTGTGTGTGTGTGTGTGTGTGTGTGTGAAAGAGTGAGCTGGGGCAGCAGGATGGAGGGGACACTGAGGAAAGTCTTCCCTTCCAGCTGTGGCCCCTCCCTGCGAGGGAGGTTGAGGCCAGGCCGGGCATGCGTGGGGAGGGAGGCTGGCAGAGGCAGAAGCAGGTGCCTGCCCTTTGGCTCCAGCGTCCTTGGCCAGGGCTTCCCCTCCTCTGAGCCCTCTTCCATGGTGGCCGCAGTGACTCACCAGTGCAGGGAGCTAGAGCATGAGCCCAGATCCTGGCCTGCAGTGGCACACTCTGCTGCCTGCTGTGAYGAGGGGCAGTCCCGGCTCGCCAGCGGGGGCTCACTGAGACAGCCCGAGGGCCAGCCGAGCAGGGCGAGAGCTCAGCCCAGGCCGGGCAGCAGGTCCTGGGCTCCTCCGTAATCTCCTCATGTCTGTTTCTGTAAAGTGGAGACAGTGGGCAGTGGGCAGGGTGAGGGGCTCCAGGAAGGTCCTGGGGGACACACCCAGCCTGGCCTTAGGTGCTGGCAAAATCTTGGGACTTCGGCACCTGGTTCAGAGCCACAGAGACGTACCAGCTGGGAACTGCTTCAGTCTTCACAGACCCAGGAGGACAGACAGAGGCAAAACCGCTCCGATTTCACCAGCACTGCCTGGTGAGCTCCACCGTCCCAGTGGCCAGGCCTCAGGGCACAGGAGCTCCTAAAGACGACTTTAAAAAGCAAAGAAGTGCTGGAGTCATCGAGATCATGTCTCCTTACCTGCAGGGGAATGCTCCCTGGTGTGGAAACTGGTCCCAGATCCTGGGGTAGAATTTCCAAGGCAGCATGGAACGCAGACTCAGCAGGGAGGCTTCAGAAACCGTCCCAGGCACCCAGGACTTGAGGGCAGGGGGAGTTGGTCTGCTTAATAACCAGACTGGGAGAGCTGGGCAGCCTTCGGGCAAAGATACTGTGGCCCACACCTCACTCCACAGAACCCCAAAGRGCACAGTCTCAACAAAGGCAGGGAGCCCCACACACCCAGGAGCAAGCTCTAGAAAATCCCTCCTGAGCCAGGGGCGTGCAGGACTGTCGCGTGACCCGGAAGTCAGGCATCAGAGAAGAACTGGTGGTTTCAATTACATAAAAAAAGCCATGACCCTGACCCAAACCAAGAGACCGATGACCAGCCAGGGTCAGCAGCGGGTATCRCATAACCCGAAGGCTCACTTCCCACCCGTGCAAGCAGCTCCTGAGAGAGAAAGGAACTGAGCCGGAAACGGTGGGGGTCAGGGAAACAGCCGGAGCAGGGAAGCCCCAGGAAACTGCCGCCCCAGACGAGGCGTGTCCCCACCCCCCACAAGGCCGATGCCTGGCCCCCTTGGCCCCCTGCACCCCTAACACAGACTGTCCCCAGCCAGTGGCTCCTCCCCCCAGCCCTCTGGCCAAGGTAGGACCAGGAGGGAAGCCAGCGGCACCAGGCCTCCGTGACCTCGGCGAGAGCAAGACCCGGGACTCAGAGCCAGAGGACCCTGGGCACCTGTGTGTCTCCAGTCCTGGGCCTCCAGAGGGAAATGAACCCTGTGGGAATCAGGGACGGTCCAGGCCCAGCTGCCAACAGTCAGGAGTCTGACACTTTGATCACACATACCCTGAAGAAGTGCTGGGTTTTGATTCTAGGCCAAACTTTTAATAAGGAAAATTCATCCTCAGATATTCTGCCACCAGCTCATATATTCAGTTATTGGAATCAGGAGGTGGCGGTTTGATCTGCTCTCTGCATGGACCYGTTTTTCTTGCGTATTTAATCTCCCGTAGATATTTTCACGAGCGGATGCTCAGCTGAGACAGCAGATCCATGCTGGACCTCAGGGGCCGCTCTTTTGTCTTCTGGTAGGGTGTTGGCCTGTTGGGTTTACTGGGCCGTCAAGGGGAAGCTCCGAGGAATGGGTGCCTAATGCACAGTGCACAAAGCCACTCCTGTCCCGCTGTGCAAAGAGAGGGTCTCATCCCATGGGGATCCGGCGGTGGCCTTGCACACCTGTGTTATCGCTCCGTGAAAACTGAGGGCTTCTGTGTCAATGGCGGGCACCATCTCCCTCCAAGACATTTGTACCCATGGCAGTATAAAAACGTCCCCCACTCCCACAAGTTCTAACTGGAAGCTCGTCCGTCTGTGGTGGGGTGTCAGGGCCGGCTGGCTCCAGGAGCTGCTCCAGCTAACGAGGCTGTAATTAAGGATGAGCTTCTCCCCACCCCCTCCCCCCTCCTCTCCTTAACGTGGCCTTTCAGAGGATGCTCCCAGCTCTCTGGCTGAAGAAATGTAGGCAACAAGAAGAGTGAGAAAGGTGTTTTTTTTTTTTTTTTGTCTTGGGTTGGGTTTGAATGGTCACCTACTGGATACTGAAATCTTCCCCCAAGTCCCAGAGAGTGTACTGGATGTGGAAGAGTCACAGATGCTGGGGAGGACAGGCTGGCGGGGAGATCAGCCACAGAAAGAGGAGGGAAGGTTCTCCTTGGAGGTGGGGGAGACCAGGAAGAGGACCGGAGGGGGCCCGGGCTCCGTGTGGGAAGGACAGGGCAGCAGGTCGGGTGGGAGGCAGGCCTGTGCAGGACAAGGGTGGGCACTGCCCCGCGGGGAAGGTCTAAGCCCTCAGGACAGTGGTGTCACCATCCCCACTGTCAGAAGGGGGTGGAGGCCAGGCTGCAGCACCATGAGGGGCCCTGATCACTGGGCTGTGCTCCAGGTCCTGGGGGTGGATATGCCTGGGCGTCTCCAGCCCCTTCCTCCCACTGTGGTCCAGGCACCTTTGCCCTGTGGTCATCCCACATTTCCCCAACTATTGTCCAGGGCCAGGTAACAAGGGCGCCCACTGGGCCCTAGCAGGATACGGTCCCCAGTGCCCACAGCTGCCGTCCTGCTGGCTCTCTTTGTTGGGAGCTCTGGCTCCTGTGAGGACACTGGGACTGGCGTCACAGCCTGGGGACATTACAGACTCAACCGCATGGCACACTGGGCATGCTGGGCCTCCGCATGCACCAGCCTCAGGGCCTTACCTGTCCTGCTGTGTCCAGCCCAGCTGCCTTCCCATGACCAACCRCGGGATCTCAGGGGACTCCTTGGCTCCCTGGTTGGGGTCCCACATCACTGTCCTGCTGCCCACCCTGCTGGGGGAGCCAGCACCTGCACCTGGACGGGCAGTCCTTCTGCCTGTCCCTTCTCTGGATGGCATTCTGGAAAGGCTCTGGACATTAAGATGTGGCTTGCCCTACAGGGACCCAGAGCCTGCCTGGAGGTGGGGATGACCAGCTTCTGTGGACACTGCCCATGTTGGGCTGCTTAGAGTAGCAAGGGACACACACTAGAGGCCCAGGGAAGGTCACTTGTGACCCAGACCTGCTGCAGAGCGAGCTGCCCAGCGGGCGGTGTGCCTGGGCAGACTCTTCAGTGGGAGCCTGGCTGGCAGCACCTGTCCTGCGGGGCACCTGGAGTGGGCACCTGCTCTGGGTTCCCCCAGATGCGCTCCTGGAGGACCCTGGGTGGGGTCAGGAGTGGGGCGCCCGGCTGCAGCCCCGAGTCAGATTCACCTCAGGGGAGTGAAACTCACCACCCAGCTCCAGCGTAGCCACGGGACCTGGGGAGGCTACCTCACTTAAAACCTCAGGAGCCACAAGAGCAAGCAGGTCTCCTCGTGTCTTTATTGTTCCTTAGATAACCGGATAGTACAAAGCTTCCCYCTTTTTTACCCAAAAAGTGGACTTTCCATACACTGCCGCCCAGTGGATTTCCTTCCCACTGGGAACCGGAGTTTCCCAAGACAAGCCCTTTCCATCCGCCATCACATGATTCAGATAATTTAACAAGGAGAGAGTAATTCCTTTGATTATTATCAACATGAACTTGACTATGTCTCTATAAGGGTGAACACTGACTTTTTTTTTTTTCTTTTTAGAAACAAAAACCATCCACTTATCAATCCAAACTACGGCATTGCATTACGACATTCATGGCATCAACTGAACGCACGAAGTTACCACCTCAAGGAAATAACAGACAGACACTGCACAATATATCTACGGGGTACGCGGGTTCAAACGACGCGGGAACAGCGACTCCACTCTACGCCGACCACCACTGGAGGAAGTGCTAGACACGGTCCGTGAACTACTTGCAGTCTGGGCACAGTTAATCTAAGAGACAATGACACAGTCAAGAAACAGCAGCYGTGACGGGGTGGGAGACCGGCCGTGCCGAGCGCCACCCGGCGGGGGCTCTCGGAGAGACAGGACGGCCCAGTCCGTCAGCGCTGACCATGACCTAAGGAGATGTCCATGCGATCCTAACAGTGGGTGTTCTCGGGTGAGAATGGCCAACAGTCACTGCCTTGCTTCTTGAGTATGTTATTTGACCAGAGAGGGGTGGGGGGTGGGGGAGGCCAGGGGCCTCAGGCTGCAGTTCCAGCTGCAAATACAGGGATTTCTTCCGAAATCTGTCGCCCGCCGGCTGGAGTGGGAGGGACGGGGGGTAGTGCCGTCCCTTGTCGTCAGGATCATTGCTGATGATTTTTTGAAGTCAGTTTGTCAGTATTCTCAGCATCGTTTTGGCAGCTGTTGCACGGAGCGCCCTCGGAGGGGAGGGCTCGGACCCTCGGCTTGCGGCAGAAGGGGCTACAACTCGTCCGAGCGGATGACGTGGAAGAGGGTGACGTTGTAGAGGGTCTGGTGCCCGTTGTTCCAGGCGTACAGTGCGCGGTCCTTGGGGTTGTAGTCCAGCATGGAGATGTGGGAGTACTTGTTCTGGAAGGGGATGTCGATGTACTCATAGGTSGAGGCGTTGGTCTGGTAGGCGTAGTGCACCTTGGTGCCCCCCGAGTAGCCGTTGGTGACGTAGAGGGTGCCGCAGATGATGAAGGCCTCGCCGGCACTGCGCTTGGGGTAGCTGGTGTTCCAGGTCTGCAGGATCTGCAGGGACACGGGGTCCAGCTTGCTGATCACGATGTTGCCGGCGTTCTGGTTGGTGGCGTAGACGGCCCAGAGCCCGTTCTCGTCCACCATGAGGTCGATGTCCGAGTGGCCGCCCCAGGCGTAGTGGTACATGTTGTTGTAGCCGGCGTAGTCCAAGCTGCGCGTCTTGAGGATGGTCTCCGTCTTCAAGTCGAACCGGATGATGATGTGGCTCTGGAACTTGTTGAAGTAGATGGAGCCGTTGTAGACCACCTGCCCCGTGCCCGACCACGGGTGGGGCAGGCGGTGCGAGGTGAAGTTGTCCGTGTTCATGAAGTCCACCATGGACTTGTACTCACGGACAAAGCGGTTGTTGTGGTAACCGTCCATGTACCAGACCTGCGGAGAGAGCAGACCTGTGAGTGCTCCCTRAGGGGACCTGGGGCTGCGGGGAGGCCGGCCCTCCCACGGGAACTGGCAGGGAAGAGCCAGGAAGGGTGTCACCTCCCTCCTCCAAGGCCACAGGACTCTTCCAAAGGGACAGGACCAGAGCAGGACTTGTCCAGGGTGAGGAGGGGACAGGGGAAGGCAGATGRGGGGCAGGCAGTCTGGGGCTGCCAGTCTCACTAGACAGGGCTGCAGCCACCCTGTGCCATTCACCTAGTGGGTGGCACTGAAAACCCCACAGGCCAGCAGCCAAGCCCTCTGCTTAGAACCCATCTGGCTATGGGGCAGCGGCCACGCCGAGGACCTGGCTGTGTCCACAGACTTGTGGAGAAAGGAGCTCCATCCCTCCAGCTGCCCCAAAGCCAGCGAGGCAGTGTGGAGGGCACACCTCCAGGCCCCGGGCAGGACAGATGCCCCAGCTCCAGGTAGCACTGCGGAGGCCACAGTTCTCAAGGTCACTGGGAGGGCCCTGGCAGTGGGCCTCGTCACCCTGCCAGGCTGAATCATCCTGTCTGCCAGGCAGAACGTCATCAGTGTGGCCTTTGGGATGCTGTGAGCGTCACTCAGCGTCACACCTAAGAGACAGACCTGGGCGTGGCCCAGTCAGGCCTGCGGGAGAGACCTCTGAGTGCTTAGATGCCACGTGACCTGGAGCTGCCCAAGTTTGAACRAACGCTTTAGTCATTTCCAACCGATATGGGAGCAAGGAGAAGGCAGAGCACGTAGCAGGGGGATCTGGCAGGCCACCCTGCTCCCGCATCTGTCTGGCAGGACAGCTGCTCTATCCATCAGGGGCTCTGGAGCCGCCGGGAGATTAAGGACACGGAGCTTTCAGACTTGGCATGACACATGCGTTAAAAATTAAAAAAAAAAAAACCCGTAACCTTGTTCCTGAGACGTCCATTCAGATGCTTGGAGGCAGATGTGCTTTTTGTTTTTAATGAGTTTTTTTTCAACTGGGTCTCATTTGAGGCAGTCATTATCCCTGGCCTCCTGCAGACCAGCCCTCCATGATGTGGGTCAGGGATTAGAGCTGGGAGGGGTGACGGAGGCAGCAGGCCATGCTCAGAAACCCCCAGCACATGGCAGAAGGCAGCCCGCAGCTGCCCCCACCCCCCTGCCTCCRCCTGGCCCTGGAGGGACCAAAGCCCACTGCTTCCCTCCAGCCTCGGCTCCCACGACCTCCCCCYGGCCTCCTACCTGCCTCTAAAGCAAGCCCTGCTCCCCGTCTCGGCACCGAGGACACTTTTGATATGTCTGCACACCAGCCTCCTGCCGAGTGGACCCTTGAGAGTGGGGACCCAAAGGGCCAGGGTCTCCCTCCCATGGCYGGAACCAGTGGCATCAGTATCCTTGACTGGATTTTCAAAAGGCTTCTCTTCCGTGCACTGGACCCAGTACTTTCTGAACRTACTGTTTGGGACGGGAGGGAAAATCAGTACCAGGGCCACAGGTCCCCGCAGGGGCTGGGCCCGGGCTCGGCTCAGGCAGGCCGTCCTGGGGRTTCGCCAACGTCTAAGATGTGAAGGTGCCCCTTCCCACGCTGGACCTGAGCAGAAGAGAGCCGCGTGGTCAGGACCCCAGGGGCTCATGCCGAGGAGACCTTGGCACAGTGGGCAGCCCGAGTCCACTCGTGTGACCCCYGGGCTGCTTGTGTCCGGTTCTACCCCAGCCCTAGGGCAGGCTGGTCGAGGGACAGGGCACCCTTGACCCTCGTGGCCCTCGAGGCATGAGGAARGAGCCTGCATGTGCCCAGACGGCCCCAAGGAGAAGCGTCCCCCTGTAGGAAGWCCCCACTGCTCCTGCGTGGCCAGGCTTTCCCCTCACGATGGGGGCTTGGATGTCACCCTGCTTCCTGCGACAGAGGTTTGGAAGGGCAGAGGGGCCACCAGGCCACACCACCTGCTTGCAGAGAGGCCCTTCCCCAGCAGAAGAAGTCTGGATCCCACTCAGACCCTGAGGCGAGCTGCCTCACCCTGGGGTTCTGCCTGCAGCCCCCAGACTGGCTCCCACAACCAGTGAGAGTCTTCTAGAATTCCAGTCCACCCCACCACTGTCCTACACGAACCCTYCCTGATTCTGCAGCTCCAAACCCCCCAGCCCGGCCTGCGGTGTCTCCCTGCCAGCCACCGCACACCCTGGGTCCCCGCCAGGCCAGCACTGCGGCCACCGGCTCTGCGCCCAGCGAGAGGCCGCACCCTCCTGTCATCCCAGCCCAGACACACCTCCTCAGGAGGCACTTCTAAGTCCTGTCCCTAGAAGCAAGTGGGTGTCAACCCCCTTACTGGACTAGAGAGTGGACCCCCCAAAGAGGTATCCACACCCTTGAGCCTGTGGATGCACCTTGTTTGGAGAAAAGGTCTTAAGAGTTGATGTCTCCAGATAGGGAGCTGGTCCTGGATCAGGGTGAGCCTGAAACGCAGTGACAAGGGTCCTCAAGAGACAGGAGACACAAAGGGAGATGCCACAGGGGTCTTCCTGCCTRTCAACCCCCCTCTCAGTGGCCCTGGGGTCCTGCACCCACCTGGCATGGCCCAGCGAGTGACAGTGGGTCTGTCGGGGAAGKCCCTGTGGAACCTGAGGGAGGGGTGATCTGCTGATGCCACAGGGCAAGGGTCGTTGTGTGGACGGCGGCTGGCACCTGGGCACCTGTACAGGCCCCACCGTGGCAGCATGAGCCCAGCCKCTGCTTCCTCTCTGCCTCAGTCCCGCAGCTCTAGAACAGGCCAACGGGGGCCTGCCACCTCCACCTGTCCAGTAAAGCCCAGCTCTGCCTCCTAGCCCTGGACAATAGGAAYGGGCGGTTCTGAGTGGGCTAGAAAGGGCACCAGGGACACACACAGCCAGAAGGAAGAGAGGTCCAGACACRAGTGGGCACGTGGCAGGAGGGGCCAGCTCACTTGAGGTCAGCCTAGGACTCCAGCCACAGACAGGTCAGGGCACCTCTACAGAATGGCACAGCGGGGACGGCTGGGGTGCTGAGGCCACCGCTTCCAGACCCCTAATTCACAGAGACCCAGAGAAGAGGAGGGTCTCTCTTGGGGTCACYCGCTCTGCTCCCTGGACAGCGTGCCCACCGCCGGCATCTGGCATGCAGTCCACCCATGGCCTCTCTAGGCTGTGACGGCCCTTGTCCCAACCTGGTTATGTCCACCACTTCCCGAGGCAGGTGCCATCCCTGGGGGACAAGGACTCTCCAATCACTCCTGCCAGACCTGGTCACCCACACGCCCTGCCCTCAGAGGGCAGCCTCTTTCACGGCCTCCCTCTCCCTGAGAGGGTGAGGGTCCCAAAGGGCACAGGGTGGGTGAGGGCCCGCTGCCCTCCAGGACCCACCAGGGCTCCCTGAGGACACCCTCTGACATCACTGACCGCCCTGTAACCCTGTAACCTGTCCTCAGTCTGGGCAGCAGCAGGCCAGCACTGGTCCAATCCAGATCTGGAGCAGGTGGAGCCTGGGACCTGGCCTCCTGGTGGACTGCCATGGGTCTGTCCATCAGCCGTCCCTCTCAATCAGCAGCAATGGACGCCCCCCCCCACTCCAGGAACCCCAAGCACAGCCTTTCCTTAGTTCTGCAGGTGCTGAAAGGGCCTAAAGTACTCCCTGGAAATGACTTTGCTTTTAAAAAGTTCAGCTGTCACATTCTGTCTTTTGTCCCTGCCTGCCTCAGGGGCTAGACTCGAGTCCCAGCCCAATTCCCTCCCTACCCATGATATCCTTTGCCAGAAAAAAAAAAAAAATCAAATGCTGGCTGGTGCACGTGAGCTCTGGAGCATCTGCAACCGCCCCGCTGCCAGAGTGAGGCTTCTCAGAAGCAAGCGCCCGGCGCTGCTGCCCACAGGAGAAAAACTGGGTCTCCCCACGTCTCAAGTGCTCTCAGGCCCATATGGTCAGGCTCACTGAGAACACGGGCTTCCCTAASTGTCCTGACTATTTTCAGCTGCTTGCAGGAGGAAGGCCGCCCAGGGCAGAGCTGGGGAGGCGCCCCCTACCTGCGGCGGATCCGCATCTCCTCCGCCCGCTCACCGGGCAGCGCACGSGATGCTATTTCAAGGGCCTTTCTTAGGAACCTGGGCCCCAGCATGCTCTTTCTTGGCTTGGCCAGCATGGGTCACGTGTCCTCCGGCTAGGATGGCTAAAACAAGGGGCCCAGGACTAGGAATGGCTCTGAAGAGAGCCGTTAGTGGCGGGGTGCAGAGGAGGGTGGGAGCAGAGGGATCGGCAGCCCAAGAGCCCCCGACTCCTGCTGAGAAAAGATCAGGAGGGACCCCTCAGGACAGAGCTGCGGGCGCCATGCTGACCCCACGTGTCTGCACGACCTGGTGCATTCTGGGTGATTCCACCTCCTGTTCCCAGCACCCTTCCCAAGTGTCTGGAGGGCTTTGGCACCAAAGCCGAACTCTGCTGCTTATAAAATAATCATGATTTGGCAATTATACCACCTGCTCTGGGCACGAGCCTTCTGGGTATGGTGAGAGGGGACTGCTGGGCCCCTCTGATGCTGGTGACCGTTGGCCTGAAACTTCTTGGGAAGAAGCTGGCCAGGAAGAGGGAGGCTGGATGTGGGCTCTGGTGAGGTGGCCCATGGTCAGGGTGGGCTGTGAGCCTCAGAGTTGGGAACAGGACCCCTGGAGCTCCTATGGTCTCCTGGGGATAGGGGCACAGGCTGGTGGGGGATGCCAGTTCCGCCAGTTCTGGCGAAGCCTTCCTCCTGCAGTGCTGGCAAAGTGGGCCAGGCCTCTCCAGGGCCCGGGAAGCACAGGATGCTCACCGCTGGGAGATGCGGGAGAGCCCAGGGGCTCCGCACAGCGCCTGGCACACAGCTGCTGCTTAATAAATGGTCRCAGGAAGGACTGATGCGAAGGCCTACCAGCCAGCCTGACTCTAACGGTGGCTCAGCATGTCCCCTCCTGCCCTGGCCACAGCCCTGGCCAGGCCTCCAGGGCGGCCTGCATGGAGGCCAGTGTGGATGGCTGTTTTGTTTTGGGGCGAGTTATTGGTCTCCCGCGTGTGTGTGATCAAAATTGGACGGGAGATTGGAAAAAATCAAAACAAAGCAAAACATTGCGAGTCCAGATCAATGGTAGGACCCACCAGGAGACGTGGCACTTAGCAGCCTGGGAACACGGCTCAGCAGGCCTGGAGCCCAGAGCAGCACCGCTGCCACGCCCCCGGCCAGCCCAGCTCCCACCTCCTCGCCTCCTGTGCCGTCAGCTCCCCACCAAGTCCTCCCCTCCCCGCACAGGTCCTTCCCGACACTCCGTCTGCCACCAGAGCCTCTTCTCCTGGAGGGCGATGCAGTCAAGAAGCGGAAAATAGGTATCTAATTATCTAAAGCACCCATGGGCCCCTCGACGGCTCTGAGAACCGACACCCTTGCTACACTGTGCAAGCAAAGAGCCCATTTCCAGGAACTCTGGGTCCTTGGCACCTGGGGAGAGACCCATTTGACTGGCATGGGGCGCAGAGGCCAGAGGCCTGGGGCAGCTCCCGCTCGTGGCCCAGCAAGGCCTGTGTGGGTTTGTGGGTGGGTTTCCTGCTCTGTGTGGGGGGAGGAGGACAGGTGGGAGGGGGGAGGGCCCCTGGGGACAGATCAGTGCCTGCCAGGAACGTGGCCAGGGAAGCAGGGGATGGTCTCCGAGGTTTCGGGCAGGGAGGGGATAAGGACACATGTCTCATCAACACAGGGAGAATCACACCTGGACGCAGGGGCGGGCAGGGGCTGGGGAGGGGCACAGTGTGGCTGCAGTGCCCACTGTCCCCTCTCTGCTTGTCGTGGAGTGCCCAGGACAACCCCTGGCCACGAGACCTGCTTTCTAAGCACCTGCCACATGGTTGTTTCTATTCCTGGGTCATCATCACCTACCTCTGCAGTGGGAGGGGGTGGAGTATCTGCCCCCCAACCCCCCACAGCCCCCTGGCCTCTGCCAGCCCCTTTCTTTGTCAGAGGGCGAGAGCCAAATGGTCCCCTCCCCAGATGCCCCCGGACTCCGGGAAGCTGGGGCTTTTGCTTTGCCCAGTGCAGCAAGGGTGTCAGCTCACCAAGTCTGGGCAGAGGCTGTTCTCCAGGCAGGACGGGACTCAAAGAACAGTTCAGGGAACAGCTGACTCAAATTGTTAGGAACCTTCCAAGTATTGGCCATCAGAGTTCAGAAAACAGGACGAAAACAACCTTTCTCCTACAGACGCTGGACTCCAGTGGAGTCCCAGGTGTGCAGCTTGCCAGCTCTCCAGAACTGCCCACGGCACRTGCCCCCCGGGAGGCAGAGCGTCCAGGCCACCCTGTGCTGAGACGGCCACCTGGGTAGGGGGCTGCGACACGGGGGTGTGGGGGCTCTTCCTGCTGCAAGCAGTTAGGCCAACAAACACAAGAGGCTGGAGGACCTGTCCACCCTCGTCCCCGGCCACTTCCCACCTCCAACACAGGAGACCTCGTCTTGCTCTGCCTGTAGCTGGTGGACAGCTGAGACCAGGAATGGCTTCCGCTACTCGGGTGCCAGGTCTAGCTTAGAGGCCTTCGGATTCCTAAGTTCCTTTCTCCATCAGCCTGGAGCAGAACCCAGGTGTTTCCAAAAGCACGTTGTCTACACGTCTGCCCACGTCACAGGGCAGGGGCGGGGGACGCCAGGGCTGTAAGGCTCACTCTGGCCTCAGTTATCAGGGCCGAGCCCCAGAGGGTGAGCAGGATCCAACGAGCTGCCCCTCTACCTCCAAAGGAGCGTCCTACAGGCCACAACTGCTGTGTCCAGGCTACAGCAGGGAGGGGCTRGTGGGCCGGCGTCCTCCACCCTGGCAGCGCCCCTCACCTCCCAGTTCMCAAGGCTCAGCCCGCAACCCAGGCCCTGGGGCAGGCGGCATGGCCCTGATTCCCTCTCCTTCACGAGGTTTGCCTGGGGGGAGATACCCAGGAAAAAAGAACCAGGGCCTCTTCCCAAAATCAAAAAGAAGAGGAGCTTCTGTCAGCCATGAAAGGAGAGACAAATGAAGTACAAATGAGTGTCGTTAGAACAAGAAAGGCAGAGGCCGCTGGGGAAGAGCRGGCAGTTAGAGACAGACTCAGCCCAGCCCAGCTGGGCCTGGAGAGAGCCCAGGGGCCACTGCGGGCTCCAGCATGCCATACCACACGCCCTCGCCGGCCACTGGGATCTGTGACTCTGGGTTACCACGAGGACTTCAGCCGGGGACACGGGCCCCTGTAGGAGGAAGCCCCTGGGGACTCTGGGCTGCGGGTGGCCCAGGAGGTGGGTGGGGCTGGGACTGAGGTGAGGGAGGGAGACCAGCTCCTGCAGGTCACACGAGCACGCCTGTCCAAGAGGCCCCGTGACAATCAGGAGACACTCACCCTGTTATCGCCTTCCGGGGCCAGGGGGTCTGTCATCCAGGATCCAAACCTCGAGCCAGAGGTCTTGACGGTTACCGGGTCACTTATGCCCGTCAGCTTGCCGCAGGCTGGAACAGAGCGCACACAGATCAGGACGCGAGGCGGAGGGAGTGCCCGGCCCCCCGCAGCCCTGTCCCAGACTGCCCAGAAGGCCTGATGGCTGCCTCCGCTTCCCCTCCAGGTCTAGAGGCCACCTCTTCCCTAAACCCAGCAAGGGAGGCCAGAACGGGCAGGCGGGAGCCAGGAGCAGCCACCCTCCGGGGCCTTACCCTCCTGGCCCAGCCACGCCCGCCATTCTGGGGATGGGAGGTCACAGCAGCAGCCCTGGGAGGGTTCAGCAAGACTGTTTTCTCTCCAGGAGAGCGCACAGCTGGGCCTCCTACAGCTTGAGGAAAGCAGGGAACTGGCGGACATGCCTCAGGCATCTACTCAGGCTCCATGCAAGACACTGCACCCAGGCAGGAGCAGCCAGACCACCCTCTGCAGCCCAGGGCCCATCACTGCAGGAGTGTCCACTCTGTGACCTGAGAACTAACAGGAAGGCAGGTGCCCTCCTGCTGGGAGTGGGTAGCTTCCCACCTCCCYTGAAGAGGAGCCCCAGGCAGGAGGGCTGGGCTGAGCACCAGGGTTGCCAAGATCCTGGAGGTGACCTGCAGCCCTCCCACTCACARGTGGCCTCAGAGACTGTGAGGGACTTGCTCAGGCCTCCTGGCCATTCAGGCAAGGCTAAGGCGGAGGCCTGCATTCCCAACAGCCTGCTGACCTCCGCAGCCTGCTGACCTCCACAGCCCCCTGGGCTCCAGCTCRTGGCTGACCACCAGGTGGACSGCTAGGAGAGCAGCACCAGGTGGACGGCTAGGAGAGCAGCACCAGGAGTGGCATTACTGTTTCCTTCCTGGGCCAGGGCTACCGCTGAGCTCAGCGTGCTTGCTTGGCTTGCACACAGACTCTGYTCTGACCAAGCCCACTCTGGGAGAGGGGACAGGGGTTGAGGCCAAGGGTGACCAGCATCTACAGGGATGAATACAAAACATGGCGAGTTCTTGGAAATCTCAGAGGAGATTCCTGGTTRTCAGCCACGAGCTGAAGCCCACGAGCTGACCCCTCTGTTCAGAAACACCACCCTCGGTGCTCAAAGTCAGCCAGTCTGCAGCCAGGCCGCCACCACAGTACTGCAATCTCAGCCCACCTCGGGAGGGCAAAGTACTCCTGAGGTCCAAGGTGGTCGCCCCCCAGGGACATCCAACTAGGGCCTCTYGGACCCTCCCTTTCTCTCCAGGCCYGGCCTGCCTGTGACCTCTGGAGTCTACACACCCCCCTCAGGGCCTCCCATCAGCATGTGTACACAGCAGTCTGCAAAGTTCAGAGGAGATCCAGGCGCTTACGGAAGCTGTCGGAGACTTAGCCCAGACCACAGGGAGCCGGCAATCCCTAAGGCGGAGGGCRGGGAGGGCTTCTCTCACTCTAGCACAGTCTCCAGTGCCTCCCACCCCCTCAAACTTAAAGAATGTGTCCCCAGCAGAGCTGTACAGGACTGGAGGGAAGAGAGGGCCCAACCCCTGCCCAGATAGCTGCAAGAGGGCACAGCCTGGCCAGAGGGAGGCTTGGAGGWCCCAAGCACCTCCAGCCCCAGCGCTGGTGCCTCGCCCAGGATGGAAAAAGTCATGCCACCCGTGGTCCTGCTCTCCTACCYGCTCCATGTGCACCTGTTCCCACTCCTGGGAAGGAGTCTGTGCAGGCTGCACAGCCACCGCTCAGCTCAGCCTGCTTGCTTGGCTTGCACACGGACCCTGCTCTGACCAAGCCCACTCTGGGAGAGGGGACAGGGGTGACCAGCATCGACAGGGGTGGGAATACAAAACAGGGCGAGTTCTTGGAAATCTCCKAGGAGATTCCTTTTCCAGGAGCCTGGCTAGCTTGTCACCTCAACTGTCTCTCAGGGACTTGGGAGGGGACAGTGGAGGAGGTGGGCCTGAAGAAGGAGCCCAGGCTGGACCCCAGCCCCACTCTCCAGCTCCTTCTTCCTTTGTTCCTGTTGATCTGGGGGCTGGGTCCTGGGCTGCAGCAACCTCTGAACTAGGTGGGAACCCGGAAAAGCCTACAAGGACCAACCCCTCCCACAGAGGGCCTCC